TGAGCCAGGGATCAATTGGGGCGTCCTCAGCTGACCCTGGGCTCCATTTGGCCCTGCCGCTTTTAAGTACCCTCCTCCTCTCCCCCTCTTTTGCTGTCTTTGATAAAGGTAGCGACAAGGGGGAGCAACTGGTTGAGTATCCTTTTGAACAGTCCTTTACATCCCTAATTTTAACTTATCAACTTTTAAAAATGTGTGTGGTAAAAACACACACATCCTTAGTGTGAAAGATGTAGCAGCTGCAAGTGATGATCGTGTTCATGAAATATGTATTGGAGTAGATATGTCAGGCATACACACTAGTAACCAGGTCCAGCTTCTGGAGTTCACTTTGTCTTACCAAGCAACAAAATTCTTCTTTGATTACGTGTTGCGTGCAGTGCTGACAGTCAAAGAAATTTTATGACTTAAAAGATATATAGAGCAGTTAGCGTGCAATCCAGCAATAGGACAAAGTCTGGATTAATCTTTTTTTTTTAAAAAAAATTGAAGTGTCTTTTTATGTTGACTGGTGCATCCCTGATTTTTGTTATCCAAAGTACAGTAGTACTGGAAGTCTGTTATGCTCAGTTGGATCGGGAAATCATTTTCTTTCTCAAAACTTAGATCAGAAGCTACAAGGTGAAATCTAATTGATATAAATTCAGTCCCAGTAAGATGGGTAGTTTTTAATGGTAGACAGGGAGAGCATTTAAAACTGAATGAATGAGTGTTAATCTACTACTGGAATTTTAATGATTTGCCGTTTCAGGATTTCATTGAGTCCAGTACTTAGATTCCTGGATAACTGTAGTGGCTAGTCTAGATATTGTAACCTTTTCTTTGATTCAGACCTAAATCAATACTCCCTGTAAGCTCTTGGGCTGCTACCCAGGAAAGATTCAAATGCCACTAAGCTGATTACCAGAGCATTCACAAAGTCCACAGCCAGCAGCATATGTTTCGACTAGTGGTGCACTTCTGTACATACCTTGGTGCACATAACAAAATGTATTCCAAACATGGATGGAAAAAATAAAGGGAACATAGACTCAACACCATTATTCATGCCTTTGCAACCTCCAGATTGGAAAATTGATGTATGTTTTGGCTAAGGTGAGTGAGACTTAAAGGTCACTCAGCTTTAAATTACACAGATTTCAGTAAATCTACAGCTTAGCTACTTGGGCTGGCACAGCCACAACATCTAGTTTCTACCTTGACACCTGATTCACTTCAAGGCATGGTGGATAAAAAGCAATGATTAAAAAAAAATGGATTTTTTAATTTAAATTGGATTTTTAAAAAAATCATCAATAAAATACTAAATTTATCATTTAAAAAAGATTTAATTTTAATCTAATCACAAACATGCCAGACCTATAGTTAAAATTTATTTAAAAATAAATTCATGGCTTTAGTCTCTCCAGCCTAACAACCAGCTCTTGCTTCTTGAAAGTTCAGAATCTTCAAATTTTGTTTCTCAGCAGACTAATATGTGTAAAGATAGAGGCTGGATAGGATTGTTTTTGTTCTTTGCTTGTGTGGTGGTAAACCTGGAGCATGCCCGGTGGAGTTAGTTAAGATTTTGTCTAGAGATGTTAAAGACGATTCTCTCCCCCTCCTCTGCCTCTGAGAGAGAGGCAGCAAAGGGGGGGAGGGAAGGGGTATTTCAAAATGGCAGCGCTGCACAGCTGTGTAGTGCTGCTGCTTTGAAAACCCAAGGCGGTGTTTCAAAGGGGCAGCCGTGGAGCTGAGGGTCAGCTGGGGATTCCTCAGCTGATACCGGGGTTAGCTGGGGAGTCCCAAGCTGACTCCGAGCTCTACAGCTGCCCCTTTAAAACGCGCAAAGGTGGCATTTCAAAGGGGTAGTGGAGCCTGGGGTCAGCTGGGAACTCCCCCACCTGATCCACGCAGCATTTCCCCAGAACCCGGGGTCACTGGGGAGTCCTCGGCTTACCCCAAGCTCTGTGCGGCATGCAGTGTAGGAGCCAGGGGTCAGTGGAGAACTGAGTCCCCCGGTGACTCCGGGCTCCATGGCTTTGAAAGTCACCCTGCTGGTGACTCTTGTACATTGCAAAGCAGGTGCACATGTGCAGCCCGGAGTCTGCAGGACTTCCTGTTGGCCTCGAGCTGTATGCAGAAGTGCCTGTCGAGTAGTCGATGGAAATTCCGTCAACTAGTCTATTAACTGCATTTTAAACCCCTAATATTTGTCTAAAAACAGACAATATATAGGAAGGATGGAAGTAGCATAGAAAGGAACAGTGGAGTGCACTGGAAAGAAAGGGAAGATATTCAGTGCACGCACAGCTTCCTTTTGCCACAGAAAAACTGTGGTGGCTTCTGAGTATGAGACCCTGTCTGAGTGAGCCAGCCTCCCTTGAGCATGGCTCCCACCTACCACCCCACTATTGCCTGTGATAGAGGCAGCAGCACAGGTAGAAGGTGGCTCCGCAGCTGATATGCACAGGGACCTGGATTGAAAGCTGCTTCCCCCATGTACCGGCTCCTGCCTGCCTTGTTTCCTCTCCTGCTTCTTTATCTGTGGAGCCAACCCCTCAGTGCCTTCCATAAAGGCAGCAGTGCAAGGGGGACAAATGTGGGGACCGCCCGCCCCCCCTCGCATGGCTGCCTCTGTAAGAAGTAGCAGGGTGGGGGGGAGGCAGCTCCACAAAGCTGGTTCCCCAGTCTCCATGTGTATTGGCTCCTGCCTCCCCCTCCACTGCTGCCTCTCTGAGTGTGGGGAGGCGGCTCTGTGGGATAGAGGCAGCAAGTGGGGATTGTGTAGTCGATATTAATCGACAAGCCCAGTCTTATTGGTTAATCGTGTAATCAACACTAACATCCCTAGCAGGAATTCATTTAACTACAAATCTTCTGTGTAATGCAGACACCATTTAGGAACAGTATCTGTGCCCAACTCTCAAGCCATTCTGAGTGTGGGGAGGCGGCTCTGTGGGATAGAGGCAGCAAGTGGGGATTGTGTAGTCGATATTAATCGACAAGCCCAGTCTTATTGGTTAATCGTGTAATCAACACTAACATCCCTAGCAGGAATTCATTTAACTACAAATCTTCTGTGTAATGCAGACACCATTTAGGAACAGTATCTGTGCCCAACTCTCAAGCCATACTCAGAATGGCAGCTGCACTTTCCAGGAATCTCAGACACCATCCAGAATAAAGCAGTGACATGATGCTGTCCTCAGTAAAGCCTTCTGAGTGTCAAGCCCTTTGAGGTAATTCTCCACCCAGATTAGGGATTGGAGTTGGTATAGGAGCTGCTTTGTGTTTTTGGAAATTGGGATTGCTAATTCAGGCCAGATAAACTTGGTAAATCTCAGTAGAAGCCCTTGGGAGGTAGTCATTTTTCCCCTCCATTGGCAGAGTTCCACTTCTTTGCGTGCGTGCGCAGATCTCCAAGTTGTGCATTGTTTCTCGAGGCTCGCTAATGCTAGAATTGTTGAGCAGAATATCAGTTGCTGATGTTGACCAGAAAAGCTGCATTGCTAATTTGTCTTGCATTAAAGCATCTTATCAAGTAACCTGGCTCACCAAAGATCAATTTCTCCAAGAGGAGTGATCCCACAAGGCAAGGTGATCCAAAGCAATCTGCAATCAATAGACAACCTTGAAGGTTTATTTTATCAGCAAAGGCAAAACTTTAAGGGTTCTAAATAGATTCCTATCCCAGCTCTTTGGACCACTGACAAGTATTTTTTTTATAGCCGAGGAAGTTTCTAATATCTACATCTTATTTCCTGAGTGCTGAGAAGTGAACATAGACAGAAGATATCCTGATTATAATAATTGCAGATTGGGATGATCTGTTGTGGAGCCCAGACATCAAAGGACAAGGATCTGATGCAGCTTTCTAGAGGATAAATATGCTCTGAATGTTATCTGCTGTGTTCCTGGCAGATTTCTGTGATAGACTTGAGGATTTCTCCAAGACAGTACAGCTTTTCAGAACATTGGATTGGCGTTCTGCTACAGTCCTGAAAACCAGAAGAAAGCCCCATAGCTTATTACCCATGGAATGTTGTTTCTTTGGTGGTACAGAGAACATGGGGATGTAGGTTCTCGTCTTGATTTTGTTGAATCATATCAAGAGTATGCAAAATTTCACCTGTTCCTAAAATCTTAAGTGCGGAGTGTCTGCATTTTGAAAAACATCTTGAAAAATCAAGATTCTCTATTTAATGGCTGGAGACTAATTCAGCTCTTTTTGTTGACAGTTCAGAGGCAAGTAGGTTTAATAACTGGTCTCACTTCTTAATGCGTAGCCTTTTTACGGATCAAGTTGTAAACTTAAAAGGAGCTCTTGTTTCTGAGCTTTTAAGTGTACATATTGTATGTGTTTTTTCCGACTCTTGGTAATTTGTGTATTCGGCATCATGTTGCTGTGCTGAATAGAAGGAATGACCATAATGGGCTAAAAGGAAGACTGGGTAGAGACTACCTGACAGGCATCTATTGGATGAATCACATTGTCAACTAAGGAATTGTTTTATGCATATGCGATACCCACACTTCACCCTAATATTAACCAAAACATTTTGATTCCAGGCAAAAAATCTAAATTACATTCTTGGTTTTTACATTATAGCTGCATTTGATACTGTGTATTCTTTTGTCTGACTTCACAAATCTTTGAAATTTGAATTTAGGCAATAGTTCTGAGTGCAGTCATCTGAAGTTAATTTTTTCAAAAATATCTGTTAGAGAACCTGACTAGAAAAGAGAACATTATTTTTAACTTGAAATGCTTAGGTAATCTCTGAAGGGTTCCACCAATCTGGAGAGCCACTTTGTGTGTGACGTTTGTAACTGTCGATTTGAGAAGGAAGCTGAGCACCAAGACTTGTTGTTTGGTAAACTACCTAATTCAGAGTTGTTCATTCCCACCAGAATGAGGGAACCCTTCATAGAGCTGCTGTCTTCAGGTATGAAATAATGTCCTTTTTCCATTCCCCTAAATAAAAGTACATGTCTTTATACATGTGTTCTGTTTTTAGCTGTGAAAGAATCCTTGCCGACAGACCTACAAACAAGAAAAGAGAGAGATGTTTTAAATGAACCTCGGCAAAAGTTACGAATATTTTACCAGGTATTGAAAGCGTAACATCATTAATAGAGGGATTACATAAGTATTATAAATTTTAAATGTTCAGGCTTAATTGTCATACAGATTTTCCCATCTCAGTGAAAGAGGAGGAATTTTTAGCTATATCTGTAGGACTGTCCCATTTGCCACATCAGCAGCATAGCACTCCCCATGGGTCAGTGGTTCCCAACCTTTTTGAGCATATGGACCCCTTTTCAGTCTATTAAAATTTCATGGATCCCCAAATGATCCATTTTGCTAACCCAACTAAACTCATGCCACTCTAATAGCTTTGGAATGGTTAGAGCGGGGTGACATATTCAAAAAAGAGAAAAAATGATTAAAAAAATGACCAACGTGTTTATAAGCCGACTCCAGAGTACAGTCGCAGCTTGTCAGCTTCAATGTGGGCTGAGGGATGTGCAGTCTGCATGGCACGGAGCTTCTCCGGTCCCATTGGCTGTTGTTCGCCCGTACTGCTTCCTCAGCTCCTGTTCCCTCCGTCCCTTGCCCATCCACGGAGTGAGGGGGTTCTCATGGCCAAAGGGAGCTCTGGAGCTGCCAGCTCCTACAGGGTGGAATTTCAGGAGGGAAGGGGACAAGGCAGAACTTAGGGAGTGTGGGAAGGGGGCAGCAGCTATGCACTCTAGGTTGTGGCTCGCTTTTCATCCTGTTCCCCACACTATCAGGAGGCAAGGGGAAAGAACTTGGCTTCTGTGCATGTTTCTCACTCCTGGCTCGTGAAGGGAGGGGGCAGAGCTGTAAATCACAGAATGCAAGTACTTTCCCCTCGCTCCCTGATAGTTCGGGGACTGGGAAGAAAAGCAAGCTGCATCCTGGTGTGTATGGCTGCTTCCCCTTCCCACCTCCGTCCTCCCAAAATATGGCTCACACACACCAGCCAGGCATGAGAGGCATTCATGGCATGCAAGCACTTCCCCATGCTCCCTTGGTTTCCAGAGTACAGGATCAAAAGCAAGCCGCATCTGGGCCTGCACGGCTGCATGCCTCCTGCCCTCCCTCCGTGCTTTGGGAGAGAGTGGAAGGAGAAGAAAAGGAAAAGAAAAGTAAAGATTGGGTCCACTACCTGATCCTTACTTTTAAAAACTTTCCACAGACTCCCTACAGTTCCCTCATGGATCCCCCCAGGGGTCCATGGACCACAGGTTGGGAACCACTGCCATAGCTCATTCCTATAGGGAATGTGTGTGTGCACACTAAGGTAATGGATTTTTAATTTGGGTGTGGGGGTGAAGGGCTAATAAATGAAATATTTCAGATAATACTAATACCAGCTTTTTTGTTTGCACCAGTTCCTGTATAACAACAACACAAGACAGCAGACTGAAGCCAGAGATGATTTGCATTGCCCATGGTGCACATTGAATTGCCGCAAACTTTATAGTTTACTCAAACATCTTAAGCTTTGTCACAGCAGATTTATTTTTAATTATGTTGTAAGTAAAATCTTTCTTGACAATTATCAGTATGAAACACAATCTATCAGATGTTATATAGTGCAGTGATATCATTGCCATTCCGTTGTTAGTCATATAGGAAGGGTCAACTCTCTGTTCAAGTGTGTGAAGCCAAAATTGGGCTCCAAGAGATTACCGTGAATTAGCGTATATAACCCGCACTCGAATATAACCCGCACTCGTGTATAGCCCACAGCTTTTCCTGATTGTGTAGGAAAAGTCTTAGATAACCCGCGGACGAGTATAACCCGCAGGTTCTATATGCTAATTCACGGGGGAGGGGGGAGACGGAGAGCACGGGATGGAGCCGCACTTGCCCCCAGGCCGCACTCAGCCTCAGCTCACCCTTCACTGGGCAGGGGAATGGCGAGCACAGCACAGGAGTGCAATCCCATGAATAAAAGGAAACGTGTATACCCCGTGGACGTGTATACCCCACGGGGGGAGCGGGGTTTGTAAAAATGTGTATAACCCACAGTTATATACGCTAATTTACGGTATCTCTCTTCCACCACCCCAAAAAAGTTCACTTTTAATCTTTGGTGTTACATTAAGTATTCTAAATTGAAGTTGTATCTTTTGATGCTGTGTATTTGCTTATGGTACACTTTTTAAATCTAAGTTAAAATTACTATCAGGAATTTCTTGAGATTTTTGGAAGCAATTAAACATTCCAAGTCCTATTAATTTTAGTTCCTTTAGTTAATGGACTGTATGCAAAAGATTATTTAAGAAATATTTCCTATCCAATGCTCTTTTTAAGTGGTTTTCAGATCACTAAATTTTAAATTCTGGTTCCCTTTATTTTAAACTCTCGTCAGGTTCCTATTTCCTCTCTTTGGCTATATCAGGCCCATATTGTAGCTTCATCACTTGGAGATCTGATTAGAAAATAGGGCAAGGAGGGCTGCCTGGATTCCTAAAGGATCCATAAAACTTTTAAGGCAGTCGAAATCACTTCTATATTAGTCAGCTTCTGAATATTGATTTTAAACTCGTTACTTTCATTCTGAGTGTTTCAAACCAACCTCAAGGCTTTGTATTCAAATCCTTCGATGAAAAGGGTGGGAATGAAGCATTCAGGAAGAAAAGGCTTTAGTTTGCTTATAAAGGAAAAATTATTACTTACATTGTCTGACTATCTCTAGGGAAGGAAGAGGAAAGGAAAGAACCATCATGTGAGACTTGACAGTATGGATGCAATGATTTTGGAAGGCATTTTGAGTTTGAACAGTCACTATTCTAAAACTCCTTGAGGCATTGAGGAAAAGGGATAAATCCTGTTACAATACTGACTTTCCTTGATTATACTAAATATATTTACCATTATTTGTTACAGTATCATCCAAAAGGTGCTAGGATAGATGTTTCTATCAACGAGTGTTATGATGGCTCCTATGCAGGAAATCCTCAGGATATTCATCGTCAGCCTGGATTTGCCTTCAGTCGCAATGGGCCAGTCAAAAGAACTCCTATCACACACATCCTTGTATGCAGGTACACGAATAAAAAGTGAAGTGATGGTGTATATATTGTATGGACCAAACTCTACACATTCATTGGTTTCTGTGAAGTTGCCAAGGGTTTGAGGGTGGAGTTTGTTCCTTGGTCTGAAAACCAGGAAAGGAAATTCAAAGTGGAAAAAGTAGTTGTATTTTAGAAGTGACCCGGTAAAGTGGTTGAGGGATGCAAAACTTGTACAGTTTTTAAGTAAAATGGTAGCTTTCATAGCTGTCGGCCATACACAACTGTCCTGTGATCAGAAAAATAAGGTATGTTCTTTGTCTTGTGCTTCACTGATAATGATGATTTTGAATTTGGAGCATAGCTAATAAATCTGCGTGAGACAAAAAATCGAGCTGAGTCTTCTGCTAGCACTGCAGAAGTAAAAAGTAGTAAAAGAATATTGTTTCTGAAGCAAGTGGATGAGACAGATGTTGCTCTTTGCGTATTTTCAGTCAAGTAAGAATATAATATTTTCCTACTCTATTTAATCTGATCATAATTGTGCTCTTAAATTACATTATGCAGATACCTGCATAGTAACTTATTTTCTGAGATCTAATATGGTTTCTATGCTTTTAATACTTTGCATTAGATTTGCAAACTGCAGTGTATACAACCCAATAAAATGACAAGTATTAGTAATTAGTCCCTCTGTTTACTAGTGTTTGTATAGCTGAAGTCTGATAGAACTGAAAACTAACATGCAAAACATGCTTAATTTTATTTCATTAGGCCAAAACGTACAAAAGCAAGTATGTCAGAATTTCTTGAATCAGAAGATGGAGAAGTGGAACAGCAAAGAACATACAGCAGTGGACACAATCGATTATATTTCCACAGCGATACCTGTTTACCACTCCGTCCTCAAGAAATGGAAGTAGATAGTGAAGATGAAAAAGATCCTGAATGGCTGAGAGAGAAAACTATTACAGTAAATTATTCTATATGTATAAGATTATTTAGATGAATTTTAATTACCTGTTTTATTAAAATTATCCAGCAAACAATTTCAGTTTTGCTAAGCTGAGGTAGTCTTCCATCAGTTAGAAATCCAAAGAAAGAGAGAATATGTACAAATACCTGTTATTAGCCTAGTCACATGGCACTTAGCCTTTAGGATTAAGCCCTGAGGTCATCAGAGTTACGCCACTAGCATTTAATGTTTATCCATTTGAACAGCAGACACAAAAATGAACATAAAATCTCAGGCTGCTAGTCCTGTGCAGCTCATAATCTTACAGGCTTCCTTCATTTTCCTGTGTTGCTGCTATTTAGTGCCTGGAGCCTAGTTTATAACAAGAAATATATCGAGATGTGGGTGTACAAAAGTAAAGGTGTTGTACATCACACTTTTGCATTGTGTTCTAAACCACAATCTATCCTGACTCAGAGTATTTTGATGTATTTACAAAAGTAGTTATTTTCTGAAATAATATAGTTGATTGAAAACCGGGAAAGGAACTTCAAAGTGGACAAGTACTGTATTTGCTAACTGGGGTTTTTTAATGTTTGATATTTTCACTGCAGCAAATTGAAGAATTTTCTGATGTTAACGAAGGAGAGAAAGAAGTCATGAAATTGTGGAATCTACATGTTATGAAGCACGGGTATGTTATACCATTCTTTGCTGCATCAAAGTTGACTTAATTTCACAATTTTTATTTGTGTTAACCTTTTAAATGTAGTAGATCCTTCTTTCCTCTTTACTCACTGTATTCAGTCTTGAACAGTACCTTGTCAGAGGATATTTGAATCCCGAATTTTTATTAGTTACTGGAAGATGGGGCATTTGGGATGCTATTTCTTATTATGCCTTTGATCCTGGAGGGATCACAGAGTACTTGAAAACTGCATTAAATGTTTCATGTTGCACTAAATTGAATCAACACTGAGGAGAAATGGAGCAACTATTTAACAGTGCACAGACATTTAGAATACATTGGAACTAAAAATACCACTGTATTCTGTGGACACCGGAAGAGGTAATTTAGGGAAGCAGATTCCTATTTTGCTAGAATTTGATGTCTGTGCTAACTCTTCTCTTGCAAAAACTCCAGTAGGGTCTTCAGTAGTCTTAGCTGCACAGGATCTTGCATGAGACATAAGAGATGCTACTTTTGCTAAATAGCGTAGCATGTATAAATTTTTCCCTACTCGCAAATCTGCTTATTTTGTAGCCTTAATTTTTTAAGCAAAGGTAAAAAGAAAAACCAAGCATCTGATGTGGTGTAAACAGAAATCCAGCAAGTCAGATACCTTCTATAGCTAAGATCATAACTGTGTTGCATGTGAAGTGCACCTATGGTTTTAGGTAAGCTAACATACAAGTTCCATAAATAACTTCCCTTGGTACTATTTCTACATACTTATTTACTTATATGAGGGATGCCATGGTTTTCAAAAACTGATTGATCCAACAAGTCTACACCATGATTTAATTGATTTGTTTGTAATTCACTAAATAGATATAGACCACTTAAAATCCAGTTATTCAAGGAAGATCTCTTTAAAAGAGAAGTGTGCTGCAAGTATTTCCATCTTCTTACTATTTTAGATTAATATCTAGAAATTTTGAAAGCTGTTATATCTAGAAGCTCTAAGGCTCTTAGTGATATTGCTATTAGTGATGTGAACTAATATTGTATTGCTTTTGATTTCCAAAATATTTTACTTCCTTATTGACTGTGTTTTAATTTGACAGGTTTATTGCTGACAATCAAATGAATCATGCCTGTATGCTGTTTGTTGAAAATTATGGACAGAAAATAATTAAGAAGAATTTATGTAGAAATTTTATGCTTCATCTGGTCAGCATGCATGACTTTAACCTCATTAGCATAATGTCAATAGACAAAGCTGTCACTAAGCTTCGAGAAATGCAGCAGAAGTTAGAAAAAGGAGAATCGACTACCCCAACGAATGAGGAGTTTTCTGAAGAACAAAGTGGAACGACAAATGGATATAGTGAAATTAACACACGAGAGAGAGTTTCAGAAACAGATAGTGTCTCAGGGGTCACAAAACAGAGCAAAAAACAAAAGCTCTGAAGGAAAAGCAAATGCCATTCAATGGACAAACATTGAAGTGATGTTCTAGGGTGCATGAGCTCTATAAAGAATTAAACAAAAAATTACACAGGTTCCAAACAGGCACTGTTGGATGGATATAAATGATTTCAACAAGGATATTGTTACAAAAGGTTCCTATTGAGTTAATTATGCAAATACTACATGTATATCAGTTTTTGGTGATGTAATGACAATATTCTAAGAGTTTGAGCATGAAGAGCAATACAAAAATCTTTTTGTAACTTTAGTAATTAGTATCTTATGAACTCTACTGAATTTACATAATTTAAAGTATATATCAAACAGTTTTTTATATTAAGGTTTTTGCATCTGTACCTGGCTGTTTTTCCTACCATGAAATTGTGAAACATTGGGCAAGGGAATTGGGACATAATTTACTTTTTTATTTAGAAATTCTCCAGTTAGCTTTTTGTGAAATTATACAACATTATTTAAAGTTTAACCTTGATCCTTGTTTTTTGGAATCATTTATCAATTTATGATCATCACAAACCACAAATTGATATTTTTTTTACACTAACATTGTAAAAGTTTGCAAATTTAACATAGCACTTCTTTGCCTTGTGCCTGTTTGGAAAGACCTTGACTTTTCACATTACAGACACAGTGATATACCATCTTGGCTTTTTGAGGTTACCGGCAGTTTGTTTTTTGTGGATAATTCTGATGCATTGATCGACCAGTGTACCATTTTAAACTTGAACATTTAGCTACTTTCTATTTTTATTACACATTTACACAGCTACATAAGAACTATCTGGTGTCTAACTCTTTTTTTTTAAAAGGGTTACATCATAGCGTGCCATGCTAAGGCCCAGAGTCTACAGTCAGTATGTAGTCATTACTCTTAATTCTCCAGTTGGAGTTATGCCTACTGTTTTGCCTGAGCACAGACTGCAGGATCAGGCCATAAATTTAGCTTGGGCTTTTGAGATACCACTCTTCAGGAAAAATGCACTGTAAAATTGGACCAGAAAATGTGTTGCACTTTTCATGCAAGTATTCTGTGATGTATTGTATTCAATACAGATACTAAGACGCTGACTAAAATATATTTGAGCAGTTTTGCACTGCTGTTAACACATTTTATGCATATGTTTACAGATTTTTTTTCCAATGGAAAGTGGTTTCACTACTGGTACAGTATCAGCACCGAAGGGTTTATTCAAGCAAGCACTGTGGTTGAGTGACATCACCTCAATTTTTTATTATCCTTAAGATATTGCATTTTTCATATTCTTTATTTATAAAGGAACAATGCTGCTGTAAATACAGGTATTTTTAATTTTTTATTTCATTCCATCACCATAAGATGCATTTCCCTATTTGTTTAAGGGATATATAAGCTTTCTAATGGTGTCTTCAGAAATTTATAAAATGTAAATACTGATTTTGATGGTCCTTAAAATGTGTTTAACTGTGAGACTATTTAACTAATGGTGTGGATGTGATTTGTCATCCAGTATTAAGTTCTTAGTCACTGATTTTGTGTAAAAATAGGAAAGAGGGAAACTGCAGCTTTCATTAAACTCTTTTGATTTGTCGGCTCTGAGTTATAGCAAACTCTAATTATGCCTCTGGGTAAGTACATCAAGCATTTCTCTCTGGCTTTAATTTGCTAAAGCTGTGCACATATGTAAAAAAAATAGATTATTTTAGGGGAAATGTAGTTCTAGATATTGCTTATGTCATTTCTTAAGCAGTTATGCTCTTAATGCTTAAAAGAAGGCTAGCATTGTTTGCACAAAAAGTTGGTGATCCCCAAAAAAGTAATGAAATTACTTCTGTCCAGTAAACTTTGTATGTCATGTCAATTTATAATAAAAGCTGAAAAAATCCATTTGTTTTCTATTTATAATAAAGATGCCTTTTCTATATGTACCCTTAATGAGATTTTGAAGAAATCATGTAAGCTGGTTAAAAAGCATTTGAATGGTACAGTAGATGTAAAGAAACGAAACAACAAGTTTGGCTGTTTAAATGAAACTTTTGTTTTTACATTAAATGTTTATTTGAAATCAGATTTTGTACATAAAGTTCAGTAATATAAAATATGCTATCATATTTGTCCAGTCATTGAGTGCATGCAAAAAGATCATGAATACCTAGTCTAAACAACATACTTCCTCTTCATTATTCTTGGGATCATCTACAGTTTTCACCTGTCAGGTTATTACAATTCTCCTGTCTACATTAGTTTTACAGTCATGCATCATTGTGTTACGAATGCCTTCCCCATAAAATCAGGAATGAAATCCCTAGTGGATGTCAGGGAATTTCTGGTTCTCATCTTTTGAAAGTATTCAGAAAAAAGCTTGAATTTTTTTTTCTGTTGATTCATTGATAGGTTTTATTTCATCACTTTTTGAGTGGGTATTTGGGGTTGATGGTGTCTGTTAAATCATTGCCATTACATTATTTCATGAGGCAAAAGAACATTTAAGTTGGACATGGTCTGAACCATACCACTGTTGTGTATTGTTACTTATTATATTCCAGTTCTGAACATATCACATACTGACTTCCAGGTCCTTAGTTATGACTTATTTTTTCTTTTGTCTGCAAATATTGTTTAATTGGTGTGAACTTATGATCCAGAAGTACTTTAGTTGGACCTGAACTAAAACAAGCAACATTCAGAATCCAAATTCTGATTATCCTCCCCCCCCAAGAAGAGTGTACTTAATAGAGACTTGTCTAGTTTTTGGAAACTAATTAGGCTGCATGTTTTAATAGGCAAAATGCTGGAGTTGAAGAACTATGATTATTGAAATGGATATAAGGCTCATCAATCTAGTGGCTGTTGAAAGTGAGCGAGGGAAAAAATAACCTATTCTTCCCATCGGAATAATTCACATGAAACAACTGTTAACACTTCTTTGGTCTGGCTTAGGTTTAGGCAACTAGTTGAGAGCTAACCAACTGTAGAACCATAATTTCATATTGCAGCTTGTTAGATATGCCCATTTATTCATCTAAAAAAAGGGGATGGTTCCTTTAAGTTAACGTTTAAACTATTTCTGCATTTGCACTGTGTGTATTATACATCTTGTGATCTTTGTTTTAAGATTGGGACTGGTGCTTGGTGGCCATCTGTCCCAGAGATGTCTGTCAAGGAATATCAGTTTATGTCCATCAGAATTAAAGGTGCAGTGACAATCCAAAGGTGTTGAATATAATGGTGGTGTCTGTCAAAGTTTTCTCCTAATCTGTATATTAAAGATTTTAGAAGCTCTCACTTTGAATATACCGTAGTACTTATCAGCTATATGCTTTGGTCTAAATTTAGAGTAAATTTCTCCTGGGAGTTATTGATGAGTGCTTCAGATCTTGTTTGATGTCTGAAATAGTGATGATGCTGAGGAAAGTGCACAGGCTGGGGCAAGGGAGGGTATCTCATTGTAGATACTATTTAAGACAGGTTATTTGTGAAAAGTTGGTATTGTTACGTGAAGTAAACCTGTTGTGTCCATTAATGTCATAATCAGCATACTTATATCAATGGAAGAATAAGTACATTACTAGTAGTAGAACCAAGATATCAAGATGTAGGTATGAAAAGGCTGTCTGAAATGCAAACAAAAGCTAGAAGTACATAAAAGAATCCTTCTGCTTTTCCAGGAGCATACAACTTTGGAAGGCTCCAGTGATGGTGAGAAGGGTATCCTTATCATAAAGCAGGACCCTCAGCCTTATAGGTTTGGAATGGGCATCTCTACCAGAGAATGAGTGACTAGTATTGGGGAACTATACTTTGGCATAGGTGGAACAAGAGGGGAAACTTTCAGTTTTGATCTGGATTGATATTGTGTCCTTGGAGAAGGGATGTAATTTGGTCCTAATGACTGAGTGCTTTCTTTAAGAAGTTTAGCTCTTTCAATTGGAGGCTGAATACAGGTGTTCAGGGCCTGGTCTCACACCACATCTAGAAGTGCTGAAAATGATAGATTGTGGACAAACAGCTGAGTTAAGGAAAGGGCAGTGTGAGGCAGAGGCTTGAGGCTGATGCAGATAACCAAATTTGAAGGACAGTCAGAATATTTTCCAGATTAATGCTGATAGAATGATATTGTGAATCCTGGTTTTTTTTAAAGCAATTAGTGTTATATTTGTCAAATCAGCAAGAATATTTGGGATTAATTGCTGTAGGAAGAGCTTCCCTGAATGGGTTGGATTCTTCTCTAGAAGACGTGGTGACCTTTTTAAAAAAAAAAAAAATTACAAAAAGGGTGCAAGTGGAACAGATCACAAGTGCAAAAAAACCTCCAAACACTGTAGAAGAGAACTGTTATACTGCATAACAAGGCAGTGAAATAAGGATGTATGTTAGTCAACATGCCAGCAAAGGGAGGTGGACTTTCACACAGAAAGGAATTAAGCAAAGCTGCTTCTTGACTCATTGGAGAAGCCAAATAAGAGTAATCTCCAGATGATAGTCAACATGAAAAGTTTTCAGAAGAGATGGGGGAGATGTTGCAGGAAAGGTTTGGTGTTTCATCAGCAGTGATTTATATGGGGAGGAAGAGTTATGGGCAACAGTGGCTGAGCAAATGGCATGGGTGTAGTGAGGCAATGTCTGGAGTAGGCTACATCAAGTCCATAGTGTTTAATTTAGCAGTTTAGAAATAGACCATGAAACTAAGGGAGTCAGTTTGCAGATGTATATAATGAACAAGGCAATTTAAGTATACCACCACCTTTTAGTCTTGTGGAATATGAACTACCTGTGGTTATAGGGAGAAATTATGCTTGTCTTGTTCTTCTGAACAGTAACGCTAATAAGATTAAAGGGAAGAATCACCAGTTGTGTTCATGAACACAAACCTGCTACCGAAATAAGAATGGTTTAACTCCATATAGAAAGAATAGTAAAGCTGCACTTGGTCAGAGTAGACATGGTTATATGTAGTTATGCTAGTCATCTGATCTATGGAAATTAGTATAGGGTTAATCTATACCTAGTTTGAACAGATGCTGAGATTTATTCAGAAGGGGGCAACATAAGCAGTGCTAACAATTACTAGACAGGCACAAAGTTCAGCAATCAATTTTTATTTTTTTAAAAAAATTCACAAGACAACTGTCAGAGGTATTATAACTTCAGAGAACATACTTTCAAAGTTTCATAAGTTTAGTTTTCATAAGTTTAGTATTCATAAGTTGTTTGCATGATTTTAGTATTTAGATGTAGAACACATTTTGAAGCAATTGCAAACGTCAAGCCTTCAATCTACTGCAACCCTTAACTGTTTTGGAAAATACTCGTGCTACAATAATAAGGTTCTTTAGAAAGATTAACAGTACAGGTGAGTATTTTGATGTTTGAAGAGTACCTGATGTGCTAGCTTTTGTAAGCAATGACACAATTTCTCAAGAAAAAGCTGGAAGATGACATTTTGGATAATGGCAAAAGATGGGTTTTAACATTAATTACTTTAAATCATGAAGTAGATTAAGACTGATTTAACCTCCATTAAGCCTTTCTTAAAAGCTGGAGAGTGAGAACTTGCAGTAGTGCAGGGACTAATTTACCATTCCAGCCATTTCTCCAGTGTTGTAAAAATGTATCACAAATTAATTTTTTTAAGCTGGCTTGCAGTATGTACTGTGAACAAGCTGACACAACTACGTCATGCAGGCGTATATTCAGCTGTGTAAATAGAAGTTCCATATAATGTATCATCATTTTATATTTTGATAGTTACCTATTCTTGCCAGCCCTTTGACAAAGTGGGAGGCATACATTTGTTTCTTACAGTGAGTAGAATTTTTCTTTAAACAGAGGTTTGGCTCTATTTTTGCTTGAAATTAAGCTTTTAATAAAGTTACTCAATGTACCTACTACCAAACATCTGGACTCAGGGAAATGGGTCAGTAATACACAGTGGATAAGGCATGGGCATATAAAACAGACGTGTTCTGCCAACTTCAGCGCTAACTGTACTATTGCCAAGTTGTAATCTCTGTTCTTCTGTAAATAGGAATACTCTCAGAATAGTCTTCAAAAGCACCTTCCTACATAACACTACAGTATGTTAAACTATACTATGTTCAAGTTGCATTAGATCAGTGATCTATCTAATCTAGTACATTAAATGTCATCAACTGCTTCGAAGAAATAATCTTTCACTTAACCTGTTAAACAGTTTGTTCCTAATCCCCCATTAACAGTTTGTACAATGATATACAACACTTTTGTAAGTGAATATTGTTACCTGTTGCTAATATTCTAATTCTCACTATCTTTTCACAGTAAATCACAATCTAGTTCTGTGGTGCTTGAGTGCAGGTTTTTGGTATCTGCTTGAAACTTCTACTTTTTGCTTACTGTTAAAATACTACTTGTGTAACAAAAAGGGGAATGAATAAAAGCTGCAACTTTAGTTCTTCCCACTTCTAACATGTTCTCAGTGATTAATCCCTCCCCTCTGAGTTTCTTCCGTGCCCCTAATTGTGACCTGTCTTAAAATCAACTTGCTTCTCCTATATCCTTTAAGGTAAAGTGAAGATAGGAAAAGTGCACATAATCCAAATGGGGTAATTTTGACACTAGCATATTAGGCACCTGTAGCTACCGTAGCCATGAGTATATTTAAAAGAAAGGAATAGGGCAAGATCTTATGACTGTGTTGTATAAAAAAAAAAAGCTTCACAAAATATTGCCACTTGTATTTTAAAAAAAAAACCACTTTATATACACTATTTGCTTTTGAGGTAAGCAATGTTTTTAATATGCTTATTGTATTTTAGGGCTCTAAACACTTTGACATGCTTATGTAAACCAAGTAACACTCTGGCTTAGAAATATATCTAGTTTAATACTGGTACCCAGTCATTTGTAACTACCCTGTGCAAATTCATAGTAAATTCTTATACTACTACACTTTATTGTAACAGAGCAAGAAAATAATTTGCCAATTTTTATTTTTTGGTTTCATTTAAGTTCCACAGTTTGTGGTACTAAAGTGGGGATCTTAAGCATAGTCCTTATGATTATCAAATTTATTCCAGAAGACATACAAATACTGTTCAGTACTTAAAGGTAAGGCACATTGGCAAAGAAATGAGACACTTAGCCTGATTGCATATTACAAGATACTTAGGTTTGGGGAATGAGGACAACCCGTACCACACCAAGAACAAAATGGATTAAACAGAACCACAACAGTTTTGACTTCTTACAAATTTAAGTTGCAACATTGTGTAATTAAGTCTATTTTAAACTTACTATGATAGTTTGTCCTTATTTGTGGGTGGAATAGAAAAACTTTGGACTATTAACCCTAAACCAAAAGTGTTACTGGCTTCTTTCACAGAACTGCAGCAGTAAACAAAGTTCATTCAATTTAATATATGTACCCTGAGGTTTTTCCAGTTTATTCCAAAGATGTATGATGAAATTGTCTGTTTAGCTTTTAACATAGTAATATACTGTTTTTCATTTATTTGAAATTAAGTACAGAATAGTGACATGCAAGTGATGTAGAAGTTATACCCCAGTTTGATACTAAATTTCGAAAAATTACTTCAACTTTAAAATTTACAGCAGGCTAGAACACTAACACCTTCCAGCCTGGGTAGGAGAATGAACATCCAAAATATAGAGAACCACAAGAATGATCAAGTACCCAATCAAACACTACTTCTCTGTTGTTAGAACTGATGGTTACTCTGAGTTTGAAGCTTCCTCCCTCGTTGTTATTGGGACCTAAATGCACAACTTCCATATCAAATGTTACAGTTGATCCACAAGTAACAGCAGGCAACTGGTTTGTCATCTCTTTGCCATTTACAAATACTGCCCCTGAAACAGTCAAGATATTTAAACATTATTTCTTACAGTACATAATGATTGGGGGCAGAAGTTGAAGGCCCCTGCACACTTTCTCCCCCCCCCCCCCCACAAAAATAATGTAGGATATCTAGCTTGATTTGCTTAGTAGTCAAAGCCCCAGGAAACTGATGCATAAAATTATGCTGGAACTTTGCAACAGCTACTCTAACGGTTTACAACTGATAGCTCTTCCCAAAATCAGAAGAGGTGATATTGATTAAAGCATCTTACCCTGGTCCTGTGACACTTTTTTGCAGTGGAATAATAAGCAAATATACTAGCTGAAGAATAAGGGCAGCGGAGCTCTACTATTGCATTCCTTATGCACATCAGTAAGGAAACAATCAACATTTTTCATATACCCCTATCCTAAACTATTAACCATTCTTTTTTCAGAGATAATAGAAATTAGGTTTCAAAATAGCTGTTAAACTATGGTATATTGATCCATTATTAAAAAAAAAAAATCAAGGCTATGGCAAACTGTTTGGTCAAGCAACAAAAGATTGCTAATGAAGCATAAATCGAATAAGTGATTTTAAAATAATACATGTTCCTTTTCCTGCCTCCACTGCATTTGCTTAGAGACTGACTACAGGACCCAAGTAGGAATGTTTTCAGTAATTTTCATTGTATGTGCCTCAGGGCAGGGTCTCTCTTTAGAAGTCAGAGTGGTGTTTAGCAAGCTTTTGAGCATTTGTTTAATCAATGTAAATTTAAAGTAAAATCAGTAGTACTTCTGACCAATGCCCATTTTGAACCCAGTATACTGTCTTCTGAGAATGAATTGAACAGGGCCATTTGAGTGATCGGTCATCCAGTCCCAGGTAACCACAGGTTTAGGGACACTTGGTGTTGCAGCCCTAGCTGTCTTGGCGAATTGCCATTGATGGATCAATCCTCCATGAACTTATCTAATATACCAGACGTGGCAGACTCCAGTTGTAGCAGCCACTAAAAGGCAAGCCCTGGTCCAGCCATGTTCTCCTAAATGGACACTAGTCTCAGATTTTTTGTCTTAGAACAACACATACAAATTACTATAGCATACACAGCATTAAGCTAATTTATGAATGTTAAAAATACACAAGTACACTTCAGGCATCTCATTTTGCTCAAGTTGCTGGAAGCTGTAACAATACTACAGCAGCAAAGATCCAGCAGTTAGGAATAAAGTGAGATGTTAGAGCACACACTGTACAAGTAAGACATAGTCATGATCTTCGTAAACAAGTAGATTATATTCAACAGTGCATCATTAATAAACTCACCATTTGTGCTAATGCATACAGCTTTATCTCGCTGTAAAGAATCATAGCCATTCTGCTGTTCCACACAGACTCCAATACTGTCTCGTTTATCTAGCTGACCAACTGCTTCGATTCTATGAAGAAGAAAGTTGTTAAATTCTGAAGCTTAGTTTTTAAAAAAAGCACTATGGCTCATCCCTAATCAGCACTACTGTCACCAGGACCCTAAGATATCCCCCACAATTTCATCTAAACTGAGTAATTGGTGGCATAGATCCTCAGGCTTCATCATATGTTTCTCTTACCCATGTTGCAGATGCTTACCTGCCTCAGAGGTTATAGCTTTATTATTTTTCTCAATCCTCAAATTTTCACTTTTTTTTAAATTTAATTTAAATGTTCTCCCTAATGGTATAGCTTATGGCCTGTAACTTTCAATAGTTGTGGAACACTGCTTTTAGGCAAGCTGGTCCCACCTATAGCATTTGTACCAATCCAGGCAGAATTACAAATGTAGTCACTGTGTACTAAATGGTCGTCAGCACATTTTTTAGAACAAAATGCTCCTCTTCTCCCAGGTACAGGAGGCCCTATGTGCAGCAGAAGTGGGACTCATTATAATAGTGATTTAAATTACTAATTGTGAGGTCCTAAGTGGGTGTAGATGATATCCATGACAAAATGAGGAAGAAATCATGTAGGAGAACAAAGTACAATCTCAGATTAACATTCTCCATTCTGTTGCCATTCTTCTATTTGAATACAAAAGTTAATACAGTATCAGTGATGACAGTCAACTGTATAAGAAGGATTAAGTCACTACATAGAGGTTAGAATAGAAATTGGTTAATATGAACGAATCTCAGTTGATATTTGCAAATGTCAGTTACTGGGTATTGAAAATAAACACATGATATGAGCAACAAGGTGCACAGAGACAGCCTGCTCCCACAACATGATTTCTGAGCTTGCTGTACTTCTGCCATATGCATGGTTACCTTTTTTTGTTCAAATCTTTTAGCAGTTAACTGACTACTTTTCAAGACCCAACAGCCCTATTAATATGAAGACCAGTATTGGTCATCGATAAATCCCTCAGGGTGAGAAGGTACACACAGTTGTAGACTATCATCGATTAGCAGGTTCCCATGGCAATTATGAGAGCCTAAGCCTTAACTCAGCCTGCTCGCTTTCTTCAGACAGAGGCCATGCCTTTGATGGGGAAGCCGGGGACAGAACAAGTAACTGAGGAAAAGTAATTTGCAAACCTGGCTTCTGCCAAGATGGATTTATGATTTTGATACAGAACTGACAGTGAGACTTTTCCAGATAGATTTGTATGTATGGACCAACCTTTGAAACCTAATGGCCATGTCCCAGCCAAAGGCCAGTCATCAGGCTTATAATGCAGAGAAGGATTCCATAATCTGTGTATTTAAAGATACTTCTAAACATTGGTCTGTTTTCTTCGGTCCTGTGAATCATACCTTTATCTTTACACAATAGCAGTCACAGAGATAATGGGTAAAATTCTGAAGAAATTTAGAAGTGATTTAGAATACTACATTATATTGACTTCCAAGAAACAGACTAAATGGCAAAGTTCCTTTAAAAGCAATTGGATTTTAGCTCCTAAATCTCTTAAGTGCTCTTGAAAATATAACCTGCCCTGTTCTGGTGGGGATTCGTTTTCACTGGAGCGGATACAGCTAATAATTTAATATCAAGGTGGCAGGTGTTCAATGCTTATTTTGCTTCAGTCTTCATTAAAACAGTTAATTGTGACCAGATACGTAACTCAGTATTATCAAGGGAAAAGCAATAAAAGCTAAAATGGGGAAACAACAAGTTAAATGTTTAGCTAGATGTATTAAAGTTGTCAGGGCCTGGTGAAATTCACCCTAGAGTACTTAAGGAACTAGCTGAAGCAATCTTGGAATCGTTAACTTTTAAGAATTCACAGTAGAGGGGTGAATCTCAGGCTATGTCTAGACTATGGGATACCAGAGGTATCCCAGAAAAACTCCGCCGTGTCCAGGGAACACATCTGCCCTTCTAACATTTTTTGTGGAAGAACAGATGCACTCTTTCGTAAGCCCTGTTTTCCTCGTTTCATGAGGAAGAAAGGGCTCTTCCAAAAGATGTTTTTTCGAAATTTGGCTCAGTGTAGACAGGCCAAATTTCAGAAAAGCCTCTTCCCCCCCTCTCTCCCTCCCCACCCCCCAAAAATCAGAAAAAGGTACGCAAATTGCAGAGTACAATTTGCATACCTTTTTCTAACAAAAAGTGGCAGTCTGGATGTAGCCTCAGAGTACTGGAGAAGGACAAACATGGTAGCTATCTTTAAAAAGAGGATCCAGGGAATTACAGACCAGTCATCTTTCCAGGTATCAAGGTTAGGTTAATCATTAATGCATAGTTTATTACTAAACAATCAATTTGTAAGCAGTAAGAGAATAATAAGGTTTTAAGGAATAGCCAGCATAGATTTGTCAAGAATAAATCATGCCAAATGAACATAATTTTCTTCTTTGATAGATTTAACTTTCTCATGGACAGTACAAAGTATCTAGAGGCTACAGTGTATCACTAATTAAGAGTCAATGTGATGCAACTGCAAAAAACTGAAGAGTCCTTTAATCCAGAGTACTACTCAACTTTGGAAGCTCCGGGGGCCACAATGATACAGCACATGCCGAGGGCTGCAACTTAAGTATGGTTGCATATACATGCAAATATATATGCAAATAGTTTTTCACACTGAAGAGCATGAACACAAAAATTAAGGCAAGACTATACAGCACACAGGCCTCATTTAAGTCAGTTCTGCTGATATTAATCAAATGCAATATTCACCCAATTTCCACCCATATGACAGAACTTTTAATGAGCAATGACAGTCCAGGAATTTAACTACTAAAATGCATATCAACAGAAGACTATTATATTGACTACTTTTTTGATTTAGCTCCCAACTGTGGGCCGCAAATAAGCAGACCGCATGTGGCCCACAGGACACGTGTTGAATAGCCCTGATGTAGAGTCATGTGGCACTAGCGAGGGATCAGCTGGGGTACTGTGGCCAGCTTTGGACACCACACTTTAAGATGTGCATAAACTAGAGGGAATCCAGAGAAGAGCAGTGAGATCCATGAGGAAAGGAAAAAAACCACTGGATGTTTAGTCTTAAAAGATTGAAGGAGGAGGCTGCTTAGTTTTCAAACATGTTACGGGCTTAGTTGTTCATGTCCGCCCAAGGCAAAACAAATAGTAATGGATTAATTTGCAGCAAGGAGAATTTAAGTTAAATATTAGGAAAAACTTTCTAATTGTAAGGGTAGTTAACTTCTGGAATAAGCTTTGAAAACAGGTCATGGAATCCCCATCACCAATGTTTTTAAGAACAGGTTGGACAAACACCTGTAATGGATGGTATAGATTGACATGATCTTAGGGTAAGAAACTCAGCTTGATAAGCTCTCGGGGTCCCTTCCAGCCCTACATTTCTACAATCTGTCAAATTTTACAAAGATGCAACAGCAGCTTCAAAAACTGGAAATTAAGTTAAAGCCCTTTTTTTAAATCATGTTTTATTATTGAGTAGGTGGCAAATTATTAATTAGTTCCTTCCAGATGTACAAGAGAACTCCACATTGGAACCATGTTGAACTCATACTCTAGCAGGTTTTTCAGTTCTCTGGAAAATATCACTGAGGCAGCAGAAGACTATGTTATAAAGCAGTGATGGGCAACGTAGGCTAGTAAGAGGGCCAGATAAGTGGCCCGCAAGGTTGTCGTAACCAAGATTTGTCTCCTGGGATTAGGGTAGTTTTTCTAATTGTGTTTGTGTACCTAGAATTTGTGGGGTTTACTGAGTGAACCATAACAGCGCTTTGACGGGATGCCCATGGCTCTCAGTGTTGTGTGCAATTAGCACACGCCTCACTTCACATGCTCTTGCTTTGTGTCACTATAAATATCGGTAGGAAAAAACTACACGGAGGGAAGCCAGCAGAATTTGACAATGCTATACGTGAATAATGGTTAAAAAAAAAAAAAAAAGTTTCGTGGGCCACATATAGAACCCAGATGGGCCAAAGGTTGCCCCTCATTGAAAACAAAAATCCAAGATTCTTAAAGTTTTGCATCTCTAACTGATCCACAATGAGAACTGTTTGTACAAAAGAACCTTAGATAAGGTTTACAATTCTCATCAGTTCATATTTTTAGTTTTCATTACACCTAGTCATTACTGCTCTTTTACAAATATTAACTTAAATATTCAGGTATCATTTAGGGATGTTAGTTATCAGTTAATTGAACAGTCGACTAACTGCATGAATTCTTAGCAGTTAGTCAACTATTTTATAGTCCCTAGGGATGGGGCTAGCAGCCTATGCAATCCAGGCCCACTCCTGGGGAGCTCCCTGCCACCCCATGCTGCTGCCTCTCTATCAGAGGCAGCAGTACAGGGTGCAGGTGGGAGCTGGTCCGTGAGGGGACCCAGTTTAAAACCCTGTTCCTCTGGTGGACCAGCTGGGCTGCCTGTCATCCCACGCTGCTGCCTCTGAAACAGAGGCAGCAGCACGTGGTGGCAGCAGTCCCGGTCTGCGGGGGTGGTCCGAGCTCCCCACAGACAGAGGCAGCTGGGAAAGCATGGAGGAGGCTGCTCCGGCAGCAGTTTCTGTCTGAGGGTGCTGGCTGCAGACAGAGGCTGCTTTGCAGCAGCCTCCCTGGCTTCTCCCCCACCCTCACATTGCTGCCTCTGATGGAGGGCAGCAGTGGAGGGGGCAGGTGGTACTGCACAGCAGGTACCAGAGGGAACTGGCTTTTAAGATGGCTCCCCACAGCACCAGCTCCTACTCCCCGCCACCCTTGCTGCCTCTCCTACAGAGGCTGGGGAGGAGGGGGGAGAGCGGAAATGCCAATTAGATTAACGGATATACCTAGGCTTATTGGTTAATCAACTAGTCAACTACTTGTTCACATCTCTAGTCTCATGTTTTTGTACATTAGAAAACTCCAACTCTAAGCCCCTCATTGTAGTTCAGCATTTGATTTTTTTTTTGTCTAGAAATTTGTATGTTTGCATAGCACAATGCTGACCACGTGCACTAGCTTATCTGTAAATGTAAACCCATTTCCAAGTGAGCCACTGCGTTGATCTATCATTTCATCCACATTAGTGTGTGTGACTGAGCAGATCACAGAAACATGCTAGATTAGGACTAGTGAAGGAAGAGCCAGTCATTGCATAATCAGCAGGACAGAACAATTCGGCTCAAGGGCAACAGTGAGGAAGTCCTTCTAAACATGTCAATAACATGGGCATAGTGGCAGGCTGGGCACCCCAGTAAAGCGGTAAGCTTAAATTAATGGGCCCATGGGTACGGTGCAGGACAGCATTTCTTAGCTTAATATTTCTGACAGTTCCAGCAGAAAATCCTCCCAGTGCACTACCCTAGACAAGAGAAGTCACGTGTAAGGGTACTTTTAGAAAGAGTTTAACTAGAATGAATCCATATTTAGAAGACCTATTTTTCTCTGCAGCTTTGGAGAACTTGTGATCTGGAGTTGTGAAGTCTATCTATAATGTGCAGTAGAAATACTATTTAAGAGCCCATGTTTTAAATCTTATATCACCACTTTACTGGAAGCATGCAGCCCGCAGCTGTCCTTTATAGCTGCAGGGAACAGTCACTTTTACAAGATCAACCACAAGTTTTTTAGGGTTAGTGAAACCAAACTAAACCCTCCCCCTTGCCCAGTTTCCATTCATCTTAAAGCAGAAAGTTGCACAAGCCACTATCCCATTGTATGTACATTCCATTCATAAATTGGCTGTATGCAGATGAGACCAAGCCTGCCTGAGCCACTATGGCGCACACTCTGTGTGCGCACATACTATGTACCCCCCCCACCACCATCAGACAGCCTCATCTCAAATTGCTAGATCAGTTGGACTAATCAAGCAAGTACAAACAACTGCAGCCTGAAGAGGTTGATGCTCATCCTTGAATCTCTCACCAGCCCTTCCAAGTATAGCTCTTGGGGGCAGCAGAGAACTGGGAATAACATTGGCCCAGGCCAATTGCATCATACCCCCAATTACAGCTTCATCTAAATGTCTTGACTGAAGTGTCACCAACCAAAGGGGTCTAGTTCTGAGAAGGGGATGTACAAAATGCTGTTTTTATTACAGCTTTGCTAGTCCCTGGGGAGGCTATTATGCCTCCTGAATATATGTTAAGATTACAAAGCTGCACAATTATCTGTAACATGAGTTGTGCCCGTTTCTACTCAGGAGTCTGGTTATCCCTTTGTGAATGCGCTGTTGAAACAGATGGGTAAAGCCAAATGCTAAGGTACTACATTTTGTAAACTAGCAGAATCTAATATATATTTAAATGGAACGCTCTTACAGGGACTGGGGAAGTAACACGGCTTATTTTCTTAACTTTTGAGATTCTCTTTAACACAGATGTTCCATCACATCTTTTACAGACACAAATGAGCTAGTGTTCTGTTATACAGAGGAACTTGTCTCAGAGAAAAGAAGCAAAACCAATACTACCAAAAACATTGCACATTAAAACTATTTAAATCTCCGTTACTTATATGAACAGGTAAGGACACTTGTGAAACAGAACCAGGGGGAGTCTCATAACTGTATTTAAGAGCACAGATGCTTCTGTGCCAAGTGATATTAAAACCTAATGGGGTATTTTTTAAGTTGGAAGCTGTGGAGCTGTTTGTCATGGTGAACAATGGACAGCTGAATATGCCCTTGCTCTATGACTATCCAAAGGCAACAGAATCCAAGCTTTGTGAAAAGGGAAAATGCAACACCATCTCACTGTTGTGTCAAATTAGAATCTTAACCATGAAAGTAATTTTCCCAAGATACCTTCTCCTTTCAGGAGTTTCTACAGATGGCAACCAACTGTCATCTGACCAGAGCTATAATTATGATGGAGGTGGCACCTGTTTGAGAACTTACTCCACTGTCAGCCCTTCTTATGCTGTCACATGAAAACAACGCTCCAACCGTTCCAGAAGAATTGGGAGGGCGGGAAAGGAAAGAAGTCATTACTTTGGCCAGAGCATCTAATCTGAAGCCCACTGGAATCAGTGGAAGAATACCAACAGGCTTTAGATCAGGCAACAGCCATTGTTGAAAAGTACCAACAAAGATTCTAAACACTTCACAGATCCACTCAGCCTAGGTTAATCTGAGACTTCATGGAGGAAGGAAGTGTTTCAGCATCTTTTCTAGATTAGGATAGATCCTACAAGAATATCTTAGGCTTTGTCTGGAAGAACTAGTAGGTGGAAGCAAAGTGAAAGTTCAGCCTTCACATACAAATGGGACTCTGTACTATGTACACACCACTAAGTCTGATTCAGGAGTTTATAACTCTGACATACACAGAGATAACAGAGACAAACAGGAAATTCCATTTGCGCAAGTGCCTCATGCAATGGCAATACTGCATGTACTTGCCTGAAGGTTAACGTCTGCCCACAGAAGTAAGTAGGAGCTTTGGAGTAGAGCACGCCGCCGCATGACTGAGAATCATTTCGAAGTGCTATGTTTCTTCTACTGCTCAGGCTGTAACCCTCCAAACCTGCTGTCCATTCTTCAACAAAAACCAAAAAAGAAAGGGCTTAAATGGTCATGTGGGGAAAGAGCTGCATCTGCATCTAGTCTTTTTACTTCATGTGAAAGAGTCATGTTACCAAAGCTGTGGGTCTAACCTCTCCTAGATGTGCAAAAGGAGTGAGAGAAATGAGGCATTTTCTGCAATATTGTGATTCTTGCCAAAAAGCTTAACTTGCATTTGACTCTTGGCTATGATCCCTTACACAGAAGTGACCAAAATATATATTACACAGTTTCCTTATCAGATTAATTGTGATAATAGTAAATTGGTAATAATAATAATAATCATTTTTAGCCAGTTTAAGAACTAGCCTTATAGACATTTGCAAACTTCTTAGATTTAAATCTTCTACAATAAGGGGAAAAAGCTCCAGGCTATTAAAGAAATCAGAAATCCCTGAGGAAAACGAACAATGGTTAATGCTCCATTTCTCAGGACAACAAATACAAAAGGGAAGTAGATGGGAAACCTCCACAAACAGGCACGACAGATGTGAATTTAAAATTCTTCATGAAACAAAAGAGAATTTCACACTGGCATTTTCCAAGTGCAGGAGCTACTCCAGCCCAAGTATAAGGTTAATAGCTACCACATGTGCTACAAACTAGCTACAGTTAAAATTAAGCAAAGAATCCAGCTGTAGAAAGGTATATATCTAAATACCTTGTATTATTTATACACATTTAATTCAATATATATTGCAAAGCAGGAAACTCCATTGTCTGCGGACAGCAAACAGCTCCACAAAATCTACAGCATATTATTGTTTTTTCACATACATTATCAGCTTCAGAAGACCAACAACAAAAGTGTATACCATGAGGAACTAGTGTAGAACGACCAGTTTGAGGAATGCTCCATGGACTCCATTCCTGCCGTCCATCACCTCGGGCACAAACTCTGAACTGGTAATCAACATTGGGGTCGATCTGTAGTACTATGAATTCCATCTCAGAGCCAACATACACATCTTCAAAGTGATGGGCAGTACTCTTGCGAGATTGAAGCCTGTAGTCTTGAGGTATAAAGTCATCATCCACCTAAACAGATATTCAGTCCATCAACAAGGGATTGTGACTCTGGATTTCTTTTAACTACAATGTGTCCCAGTAACATTTTATGTTAGCAACATTTGTCCTTTGCAAGGTAAAACAGCTAAAACAGTGTTTGCTAAAACAGCTGCTGAACACACAACATTCTTTCGTACTTCCGTGGGAATGGTTTGGTCAGCACCTACCACCCTGGGCCTCACCTGCAATTTACTACTGTAATACATACCGCCACCAAATATGCATTTTACAAGATGTTTATTCCTAAATCTGCTTCTGACACATACACGACACTAAGACCTATTTTTGCAATTGCTAGTTTCACAGAATTAATATTTCTGTATCACTCCTCTGTTTAGGGGGACGTGCTCATTGGCAGCAGGTAACTGCCCACGCTCTCACCACCCAGGAACGCTGGGGCTGTGGCACGGCTGCCGGGGAGAGCTGGACCTGCGCCACCCGCTGGGATGATGAGACTGAGTGGGTCTCAGGATGTTCAGAGGGCTGAGGGCAGAAACCTACGATGGGAGTGAACGTGGCTCCACTGGGGGGAGGCTGTGGAAGGGGCAGGGCTTCAGGTGGGAGGGGCAGAGCTGAGGTTTGCCTTCCCCAGCTGGGGGTTCACCCACCACCCACAGAAATGCTATAGGCTGGTTTTGTTTTGGGGGAAGAGGGCTGGGTGAGGTAACCTCCTGCCTCTTCCATTTCGGATAGTGTGGCCCAAGAAGGGAGGAGGAGTGGGCAGCTTTTGTCAGTTACGTCTGCTGGCTTTTCTTCGTAACCGGTTGTAAGCACACCTGTGGCACTAACTGGCAGATGCAGGTACTCTCAAGCAGCGAACAGGTAGTCCAGTGCCAGACTTAGCAGACTAAGGGCTGGATTCTCATGTGAAAGTTTTCCCACACACACACACACACACACACGTGTGTTTCAAAATCTACCACTATGTGCACTGGTTTAAACCGTAACATAAAATTTCTTCCAGTATATTTTAAATCCCAAGTCAGAAGGAGATGGAGAAAGAAATGCAGGGTGAAACGGACAGTCTCTTGAGAGAGAATACTTCTTTTTCTGAACAGGATCAAAGAATCTGAGCTACATTCATTCTTTTACTCACCTTACACCATCGCACTAGGATACCCCCAGGCTTCTCAGTAAGTTCTTCTATCTGTACAGGTGGCCGAGATGCTACAGTCCCATGATTGAAGATTTGATTTTTCACTATGGTCAGGAGACAGTCATCCAGCTGGGCAGATAAACAAGGCACATCAACCAAGGCAGGCACTTCTGGCAAGCTAAAGAGAGAAAAAAAATGCTGACATGTAAGACAACAGCTTGTATACAATTCTATTTCAACCATAGACTTAAAAGACAACATGTGGATTTGATTATTTTTTTAACTCTATACTTCAAGGGACTCGTTTTGAAAGCTAGAACACTAAAGAATTCCAGATTTCAGACTTAAAAGACATAGGAAGTAGCTACTATTTTAGGCTTAATGATGGCCATGTCTCAGTAATCTCCTTTCTTTCATCAGGGTTGGTAAAAACAATTGCAAACAGACAACCCATATTTCAAGGGGGACCATCCGAGGACTAAACACTACTTAAATTATCAAGGCCAATCCCCTGTCAGAATCTACATGTAAGTGGGTTAAGCAAAGCCTGAAATAAATCCCTAATTCCATTGTCTTAAAAGGGGAAAATACAGCCCTGGGTAGAGACATGTAAATCGTGATCCTTGCTGCATTCGCCAATCCTCCCCACCAGATCAATGGCTCTTACCTATCCAGCTGAATGTGCAAAGCCTTTTTTGTAAAGCTGCACAGTTTTTCATTCTGCTCGCCCATGACCCCATGGATGACACACTCTCCTAGAGTGAAAGAGTAAAAAAAGGTCCTTGTATGAAAAATGCTCAAGAAAAATATTCTCCACGTCAAGATGAAGTGAACAAAGCTAATATTTTTTTTCCTCGGTGTTCTCAATGCTCCAGAAAGACTCTTAGAATTTCAACACTTGTATGTTCTAGCTATTAGTTAATAATATATGCCTATATAGCATCTTCTGCTGACCATCTCAAATAACTTTCTCACGGGAGTTCCCACAAAGCTATGTGATTTGATCCGAGGTCTCAGACAATAACAGAGCTGGGGCCAGATGCCGGAAATCATGGCTCCTAATCCTCTGGCTCCAGCTACTTGACAGACCAACTACTTTAAAAGGGAAACACCATCCCAGAACGTGCAGAGCATCTTTACTGATTAGAACTTCAAAAAGCAAAAACCGCAAAGAAATTATACCAGGTTCAACAGTGCATAGAATCAGGCCCTGCTCATCATTAATGTAATTTTTTTTTCAAATGTAACAGTCTGTGATATTTTGTGCAGTGTGAAGGCTAGGGATAAGTAGAAAGTTCTGCTGCCCTACATTTATTTGAAAGACCCTGAAGTTACAGGAAGATCTATAGAGACTTCTGCTTAAATCCATCTTGGATTCTTCCCAAGTCCAGTTATCATCTGATGACTGAGATGTGAGCACTGACCTGTTCCAAGTGGACAACTGTCAACATTCAAAAGAAAAAGAGGAGAGAGGAGAGGAGAGGAAAACATTTAGTAGCAAAAGGCTGAACGTGCATGAAGAGTGAATTCCCTTTTTGCTCTTGTTCAGATTAGAGTCACTATATAGCAAAGCTTTTACTGACACCATCCATATAGACAGATGTGGCCCAGTGGATCAGAAATAGACTAGTAACTAGGGATCCAAGCCATGTTAACTTGTACCAGGGATCAACTCTACTGCAATCAATGCAATGGAGGTCAATTTAGTAGGCCTAATGAAGACCCACTAAATCAACTGCAGAATACTCTCAACTCTGGTACTCCACCGGAACAAGAGGAATAAGTTAAGCTGATAGGAGATGGTCTTCTGTTGACAAAGCGTGGTGTTACTGCAGTATGTAAGTCAACCTAAACTATGTTGATGTAGGTCAACTTATCCCAGTAATGTAGACAAGGCTTTAGGCAAGTTATGTCACCTCCTTTGGTCAAATGGAGATGGTGCTACATGTTGGACCCCCATGGTCTGACACCCTTAGAACCTGGCCAGTCTTGAACAAGGGAATTTGCTGGGCCAGGGGAGGTCCCCTGTCACCACCTTCCCAGGCACCCGACTCTGCTTCTAACCCCAGTCAGCCCCTACTTTCCTCAGCCATCTGTGTACCTGGCCCTGGCTGGACCCCTCAGCCCTGGCACTCCCTGCTGCACTGCCTGAGACCCTGCTGCAGGACTCCCGACTATACCAGCAGAGTTCCCCATGCTGGTCAAGTCCCCTGCCGTGGGGCTCCTTATGCCGCCAGAGCTCCCCCCAACACGCTGCAGGACTTCCCACGTCACCTGAGCTCTCTGCCACAAGCCTCCTAGCCATGCTGTGGGGTTCCTTGCATGGCCTGAGCCCCTGTCACACTCCTGGCTGCACCACTGGCGGCTTGTACATTACTGCTCCCTTTAGCGATGTGCTACCGGTAGAACCCTAACTTCTCCCTAAGTAGCACATCGCTACAGGAAGAGCTCCCTGCGCCGCCTGAACCCCGTGCCACAGGACTCCCTGCACTGCCAGAGCCCCTCCCGAAGGACTCCTGGCTGCGTCACCAGAACTCCCCGCACTAGCGGACCCCCTGCCACATCGCAGGATTCCCCGTGCTGCCTGGGCCTTTTAGCGCTGTGCTAAAAGCCATGGTCCGGCCTGGTTTAGGGAGGTATAACCTGTAATACCAGCTTCACTGGAGTAGGTGAAATTATTTGGATAGTAACAAATTGCTACTTAATTATGACCACTCTGTTGGATTCAAGACTTCAGTCAAGCAAGCAACTTCCTTACACACAAAACTCACATCCAAGTAGCTGACTGTACGACATGTTGCATTTCACAAACCAGAAAGCACAGTAGCAGAAAGTTAAAGTTGAGACAGACAAGAACAATGCAAGGAAACAGCCAGCACTGTCTTGGCAGAAACACACCGCACAATAGGTTTTCCAGTGCAGGGACATAGTTAGTATTGATATTCCTTTCTGACTAGATATTTAGTAATGATATGGAAGAGTTCACACTTCCACACTTCTACTGTTTTCTGTCCCAACTGCAAATCTTCTGGAGAAACGCGTGACTTTCCTTGCGGATAGAACTTGGATGCAAGGAAGGGAAAGGTCTCTAACAGGCAGTGTAAGCCTTCAATTTCTGTACAGTATGTTTTTGAGTCCAAAGACTCAAAAATTACTTTCTTCCAGTCTCATATGCGGGAACAAACATTCCCTCTATTTTTGGCACAAACTCATTTTCCAATATAAAATAAACTCAGATCCAAAATTGCGTTCTCCCAGAGCAAAACCAATTTGACCACACTGGATGAAATGTATCCCTTATGAAAAAAACTAGCATAAGACCTATGCACCAATGAAGTTCCACTTAGGTTTAAAATAAACTTCCACTACCAAAAACAACATAGAAGCGTTGTTACTTATTAGGGCATCTGAGATACGTTTCATTTGAAGAGGCCAAACAATCTCTTGCTTTTACTTTGGCAGCTTGGAAGTTTATTTTCAGAGAGATATATTGCCAAGAAGTTGGTACTCTTCCCCTTTTAACATTCCATACTTCAGCCCATTTATACATAACCCCAGGGTGCTATACAGAAATGCTAAACGATGAATCTGCAGGAGCAAGCATCGACATGTTTCTCCCAACCGCACCACCAATTCTGCAAAGAGATCTATAATTCTTTGAGTGTTGGTTTAGGATAGTCCCATTTTAGCCAAAATATGCTGTTTGTCACATGCATTATAATCTACCCCAGCGATGGGCGACCTAGCCGCACGAGTGGCCCTCCATCGCAGCGGCCACAAGATTGTCGTAAGCAAGATGGTCTCTCAGGATAGGGTAGTTTTGCTAAGTGGCGCTTGTGTAGCTAGAATTTTCAGAATGTGCCAACTGAACTGTAGCAGCACTTTGATTGGATGCAGAGAGCGCACGGCTCTCTCTGCCAATATTGTGTGCAATCAGCACGCACCTCACAACATGTGCCCTTGCTTTACACTCATGTCACTTTAGTATTAGGAGTACAAAAAAAAATGTGGACAGAAAGCCGCGGAATCTGGCAGCCTTGCAAACAAAATTGTCTTGTAGGTCAGACATAGAACCCTGATGGGCTACAGGCTGCCCACCACTGATCTATGCTAGTCTTTAAGAGAAGACCTTTTGGAATGTATATTTTAAATAGCCCCATACCTTCCTGGAGCAGGTCATCAGCCGTACTGACTCCATGTTCTATTAGTTTCTGGCATTCATCCAGTGGTTTGATGCTTTCTTGTTCTATGGCATCCACTTCCTGCAGCAATAACACTAGTCGTTCATCCAGCAGCTTCCTCAGGGTCCCTTTTAAATCATTAAAATGCTGCTCAAGTACTTCCCTCGTCAGAGCTGCACTCTCTTTGATCTGACTCAAGACAACAGAGAAGGATTCAGGGTAAGCAGCTAAATATATATATATTGCTTTTATCATTTTAAATCACATCGCCTGCATTTGCTAGTGGAAAGCTCTATGTTAGGTCAAATTTTACAAAGGCTCTCAAACAGTTAACAAACCTACTACAGGTTAGACCTCCCTGCTCCAGCATCCTCTGGACTGGGGAGTTCTCTGGCCTGTGGTGGGCCCTGGAGCTAGGGCTCCCCACTCTGCTGCCAGCCCCATGCCAGGCCTCCAGGGGTCAGCCTCCTCTGGTTGGGCTTCTCCAGCCTACTTCAGTCCCACTACTGCTGAGGTTCCGGCGGGGGCTGCAGATTCCTCCCAGCCAGCGCTGGCCCCACTGCTGCCAGGCTTCCCTACCAGCCGCCACCGGGTCTCCACGGGTTGGGACTCCCTGGGGTTGGACTCCCCACCCACCACAGGACCAGCCCCTACTGGCCCAGCAGGGTCTCCTCAGCACCTGCGGGATTCCCAGCTGGCTCATGCACCTCACTTCCAGGGCTCCTTCTTGACCAGGGATGTTGCTGGACCAGAGAGTCCCAGATTTGGGAGGTTCGACCTGTAGGATGCTGTCATTGTAAGATACACATTTGAATAAGGGTACAAAGCAGGGGAGAGAAGAAGCAGTGAGGCTATCCAAGTGGAAAGACAAGGGATGAAAGCAAAGCAAGACTTTAGAGAAGGATTATAAATAATTAGGAAAGCCTCTGAGAAGAGAATGTCCTTTATAAGTGGTTCTCTCCCTCTTCCTCTCCCCCTCCCCCCCAATCTAAAAGACAAGCTTTACAGTGGAACAAAAAACAGGACTATGTAGCACTTTAAAGACTAACAAGATGGTTTATTAGGTGATGAGCTTTCGTGGGCCAGACCCACTTCCTCCGATCAAATTGTGGAAATTTCTTCCACGATTTGATCTGAGGAAGTGGGTCTGGCCCACGAAAGCTCATCACCTAATAAACCATCTTGTTAGTCTTTAAAGTGCTACATAGTCCTGTTTTTTGTTCCACTGTAAAGCTTGTCTTTTAGATTGGGGGGGAGGGGGAGAGGAAGAGGGAGAGAACCACTTATAAAGGACATTCTCTTCTCAGAGGCTTTCCTTTAGAGTGATGAGCCTGCAGTAATAAGGTCACACGGATCAGGTGGACAACAGGATGCCTTTGGCCAACTAGGAGCTAAGCCCTGTCTGCCATGGCCAAAATAGCCCAATGCAAATGCGACATCTTGAAAATTTAACCAATACAAATCAAACTAGAACACATTAAGTAAATCAGTTTACTCTGGGACTATGAGAAGATAGAAACATGGCCTCATTACCATTGCATTTGAGTGCCTCTATCTTGAGGTATTTATCCTCACACCACCCTTGTGAGGTAAGGCAGTGCCAGCATCCCCACAGTAAATAAGAGGAACTGAGCCAGAAAAGTAAGTGACAAGCCCAACGTAACAGAGGAAGTTTGTAGTAAAACAGGGACTTGAACCCACATCTCACAAATCCTTGGCCAGTACCCTGACCACTAGATAACTCTTCTTTTATTTTATTCAACATATTTCCTTTCTGGTTTTTAGAAACTATTTGCATTTCCTGAGGAAAGGAAAGTCATTACCAGCTTTTTTGTTCTCAAGTAGGGGAAATGTCCCCCTCTGCAGAATTTGTGTTCTTCCTCAATAAGAGCACCCACAGACAGTACAATAATCTATAGGCTGCGCTTCAGAGCTGCAAGTCTCAAGCTGGTGCATTAGAATGGAAGAGTAGATCAGATGCACAAGAATTTTAGAAAAGAGTTACAAGCAATGATATTAAGGTTCTGTATTCAAAGGAAGGATGTAAAATCCTGATAGTCAAGTTAACCTAATGTTTAACCAGTTAACCTACTAAACAGGGTCCCGGGGGAGGGAGAGGGGCACAAAGAACCGCTCCAGCTCCCAGCCAGCAAGGCTCCTGCTACCAGTTCTGCACTGGGGCTGGGGCACTGCCGGCTCCCAACCCCCATGCTGGGGCTGCTACCAGCAGCCAGCCCCCTGTGCTGGGGCCCGGCGGAGCTGAAGCAGCGCTCTGCCCACATCAGGCTGCTCCAAGGTACCAGTTAACCACTGCCCTTTCACATCCCTAATTCAAGGTTACAGAGAGTGTCTTAAGACAACTTGCACAGGAACAGTCATTAACACATTAAGCAGCAGCGTGGTATTTCCCATCCCTCCAGAGCACTAAGACAATGGAATACCCACTTCTTGTGCAGTCCCCCTTTCCCACACATTGGACTCGCTTTAGCAAGGAGAATGGCCCCCCAGCTCACGGTATTAGAACAGAGATATAATAGTCTGTATGTTAGCACACCACAGGTCTTCATTGATAGTTCACTGCATTGTAATTGAATATTTTAGCATATTTTATCTAAAGCCCATTGAAGTTAGTGGAAAGACTTCCTAACTTCAATGCACTTTGGATTAGACCGATCACAAGCCAGTATTTGGAGAAACTTACAATAATTAGATCCACAGAATGGAAAGAAAATGGTTTCAATGTTCACTATGGATGACTGTACATCTGTGTGTTTCAGTCACTAATTTAACATGAACAGGACATTTTTAAGTTACAAGAAGACTATCACGGCGTCTCAGATCAGGCAAGAATCCGGTTATGGTCAGTACCAGATGCTCCAGAACACAGTAACAAATCCTGCATTCAGTAGGTATGAAATATGCTGTGCTCACCGAAAAAAACATCTCTTTCCTCCTATATTGAAAGGCTTAACCCCAAGAAACATGGGGGGGTTGAATCCCCACCAAAACTTTTCTTTTTTGTATTTACTATTACAACTGTAAATAGTTATCCACACAAGTGACCGATTAATCATTTGTTTGAATCTTACTTTTTTCTTTTTTTTTTGCCTCGAGCTTGGTGCAAGGAGTTCCAACTGCACGTCGGGTGCAAGAGAGTTTTGTTTTGAAATCAGATGGAAATGGATCACCTTGAACTCCATTGAATGTTTCCCTTATTCCTTTTTTTTATGAATCAGGATGAATAGTGAACATGCCACCATCTCCATTTTGATTTGGTGGATAACGTAAGAATCTTTATTCCAAAAACATTATGGATTACAAAAGGCTTAGTACAAAGTCTAAGAAGAACTCGCAACATCTTACTTTTTAAGAAGGAGACACCTGAATATGTGAAAACTTAATCACAAGCTAAAAGTCAGAATTAGACACCCCACTCTGAAGTGTTTTTATGATTTACACACACAAGGAAATGATGCAATAAAAGCCAACTCCTAGATGCAATTTCTGTATCTTTAGAAGGGCTGACAACCTACACAGGAAGCTTTGGTTAGGTAAAGTAAATTTCCTCTTCAAGTAATCTTCATGAGCCTCTGCGCCTGCCACATAGCTTGGCTTCCTTTCACTTGTTATTTCAGTGTTTCAGAAAAAAAGGAAGTGCTTGGTAGTGTACATCTGAGGCAAGGATGGCGGATGACAGAAGAGAATGGTTATTCCCCCAAACCTATGACTGAGTTTGTATACACATCTAAATCAGGATCAGAATCTCAATCCTAAAGCTAGAGCTGTGCAAAGACAAAAACAGCAGAAAGTAAAAACACACACAGAGGCTTGAGAATGGATTTGAATTACTGTAGTAAAATGATCCAACATGGAGGCTGATGCTACAATGCTAAATGATGCACAGAGCTAATGTTTCCTTCTAGCTCAGTCTATAACTCTTGAGATTTCCAGAGGCTTCCCCCCTTGTGTCCTGCATGTTTAATTCATGTTCTTCATCAGATATCTTTTTAACATGGGCTCAGTTGTGGCCAACTCCAACAGGTGCCCAACCCCACCATTGGAAAGTGGGTGCAGGGGAACAGAAACAAATGCATACCACCACCGAGCCATGCAGAAAAGAGAGCCACTGAAGTTGCAAGTACAAGAAAAGATTCAAGACTAATGAATGCAAAGTCCCGTACCCGGAGAGAGGAAACAAACAGCACAAATAAAGAGGAAGGTGGCAAAGTAGTTGCACTCACTATGGAGCAGCTATACTCACCGTGCTAAGGCAAATGTATTGTCATTTGTCTCATTTTATGTGAATGAGCAGCACTGTCGTTGCTACTGGAGAGGCAACATTTGGACAAGAGCAGTGGTTCTCAAACGTTTCAGGGTCACATCCCCTTACCAAGGCCAGGAGTGGGGATGTGGCTCCATGGTAGGGATGCAAACTCAGGATGTAAGAAAATGGTTAAAGTACCCAAAGAATTGATAAAAATCCTAGCAGTTACATGTGCTGCGGGCTCTGCAGTATAAACCTTATACGCACAGCCAGCTCCCCAGGAATGGGGCCAGAAGCTGGGAGTTGGCTTATGCATGCCGGCTGTCAGCCCTACTGCCAGGGACCTGGGTATGCTGCGGGCTCTTCAGTATAAGCTTTATACCACACAGCCCACAGCATGGGACGGCCGCTGGCTCCTGGGCTGACAGCTGGGACCTGGTGCATACTGGTGAAAAGTTTAACCATAATGTAAACCGATAAGCCAATATTTATCAGTGAACTGTTCAAACGCTTAAATTCTTACATTCCTAATGCAAATGGGGTAAGGTTGCCAAGGCCAGTGCTGGAAGCTGGGGCAGAGCCAGGAACTAGGGCCCCAGGGTAGGACCAGAGTCCCAGGAGTGGTCTCCCAGGTGCACAGCTGGCACCCAGGCCATGGGCACAGGGTAAGGAGGAGCAGACCTGATAGGTTCCCTCTCCATCCTCTATGTGATCTGGCCCTATCCCTAGCCACACCTGGCTGAATGGTCCTCTGTGCCTGGCTGAGGGAGTGTGCTCCATAGTTTGGAGACTAGATGAATCTGAGGCTCACTACCTTGAGCAGCTTGCAATAACAACTTTGAAGAAGACTATGTTTAATGAACATTAATCTCTCATTTGGTCATAACATCAAACACTAACCCAGATAAATTTACAACAGATTTCTGTGGTGATGGGATCAGTTTCAGGGAAATTATCTGATCACAACAGAAAAATTCTGTGAGAATTAAAATAAAAGAAAGATCACAATCATAAAAAGTTTCAAAGGGGTATCCATGTTACCTCTAATTGTAAAGCCAACAAGCAGTCCTATGGCACCAGTGAAATGGGTTTTACCCACAAAAGCTCATGACCTAATAAACGTGTTAGTCTCTAAGGTGCCACAGGACTCCTCATCCTTTTAACACCAAGGGTGTATCTCAGGTCTACAAAAAGCAAAAATATTCAAGGTATCTCTACAATGAGGAGTTAAACCAGATAAATAGGTACCTGACTCTGAATATGAAGTCAGGCAATTATTTGAAAATCTTACTTTGATCATTTTGTCTTACAACACACATTTCTAGCTTTCAGGGTTGCAGAGAAAAAACTTTAAAATGGAATCTCTAAAAGCCCCCAAACTGGAAAGCAGATTAAAAACTCGAGAAGTTTAACATCTCCTTATTTTCCAAACAATCTCATGATCTGTGAGGGAGAGTTGGCAAGTTCTGGCCACTGGCAAAACAGACGCAGTTCTCTTCGTGCATCTGACAAAGTGAGTGGCAGCTCAGGAAAGCTTATGCCCTAATAGAATCATAGACTACTAAGACTGGAAGGGACCTCGAGAGGTCATTGAGTCCAGTCCCCTGCCCTCATGGCAGGACCAAATACTGTCTAGACCATCCCTGATAGACATTTATCTAACCTACTCTTAAATATCTCCGAGATGGAG